TTTCAGTTCCCCAAAAGCAAATTGCATGCAGCCTCTTCAGATCTCCCCAGCTGTTTTTCAGCCAGCTGCAAAACTCAGCTCTCTGGCTCCTTTGCTGGCCGCCTGCCAACCGCTAAGCTGCTCTTTCGCCAGCCAGTCTCCTGAGAGACCATACTGGTCTGAGCTTCCTCTTCTGCTCCCCCCGTTTCCAAAGCTTTCACAGTTCAATTCAAATGAAACTTTCATTATTTATTGCGTGTAGAAGTTTGTTTATTTATTTATTGTCAGATTTGTACCCCGCCCTCCCCCGCAAAGCAGGCTCAGGGTGGCTGAGTTCTTGGTGCCAGACAGACATACAGACTCTATTAAAAAAAAAAAAAGACTTAAGGCACTAAAGTGATTTTTAAGCTTGATTCTAGACATTTGTCATGGTATTGTGTTCTGCATATTTTAAAGAATTTATTTATGAAATTAATATCCTGCCTTTCTGCCCTTGCAAGGGCCACCAAGGTGGCTAACAAAAGATACACAGTGAAGTTACATTATAAATCCATTAGATGGAAACAATATAAAATATACAACATTGTTTATTGTATATAAAATATACAACATTAACACTGTTAAAAAAACCCGCAGTCTCCCTGAGGAGAGAGTTCCAGAGCTTTTGTGCAACGATCAAAAAGGCCCTCTCCTGGGTTGTCACCTGCCTAATCTCAAAAGGCGGGGGCACTCCAAAGATGACTGTGTCGGGCGGGTTCATAAGGTGTTGGGCAGTCCTTAGGTATGTTGGTCCCAAACCATATAGGGCTTTGAAGATCAAGACCAATGTCTTAAACTGTGCCCAGATACAAACTGGAAACCAGTGTAGGTGAGCCAAGACGAGTCATATGGTCCCTGCAACCGACTCCAATGAACAACCTGGCCGCAGCACTCTGTGCCAAGTGAAGCTTCTGAACACTTTTTAAGGGCAGCCCAATGTAGAACGCATTGCAGTAATCAAACCTGGATGTAACTGGGGCATGTACCACAGTGGCCAGTTCTTTTTTGAAACCTACCTTCCAGGTAGGAGCGGAACCACTGAAGAACAGTGCCTCCCAATCTCAGTCCAGATAGGCAATCCAGAAAAGTACCATGATCAATGGTATCAAAAGCCACTGAGAGGTCCAGAAGAATCAACAGAGTCGCACTCCCTTTGTCCATCTCCTAGCGCAAATCATCTGCCAAAGCGGCCAAGGCTGCTTCAGTGCCATGACCAGAGACTGAAACCAGATTAGAGAGGATGTAAACAACTTGCCTCATTGTGGAAGGCTTGGAAGTGTCCTGACACCACCACCTGCATTTATCATGCATCTGGTGTTTCTAATTGCTGTATACATTTATCTGAAAATTTGCTTTAATACTTGAGTTTAAGTAAATCTTTTTGACAATATGTATTGCATTTGTTTATCAGCATTTTTTCTTGCATCTGACTGTTTTGATCCAAATTTTTCTGGGATTAGAATAGCTAAAGTTGGGCATGATTTGCTTGTGCCTCAGTATACAAAGTTTTCTCTTTCCTGGTAGTGTGATGCAGTACTGGATTTACTTGAGTGTAAATGTAAGAATGTTGACTCCCCAACTCTGCCCAGTTACTGGTCATAGCTATAACTTGTATGTGAATTGAAGATGGGCTCTTTTTTTGATGGCATACCTAGGGGAAAAACCTAGCTTTTCATTGGAGTAAATACTGTATGTCTTTCTGGAACAGCTGTTTCTTTCCTCAAATCTTTCCAAATCAGAAGGTGTAAGGTTTTACTTCTTTTCTGAGACCCCTTATATGTAACACCAATAAAGACACTTCTCTGTAGTGTGTTCTGTGGTGATGTACGTTGCCTTCTCTAGTTTTTCCTACTGAATTTCGCTGCCACCGAAGGCTTTTGCATTTGAATTCTCAGTTGGACCCAGGGAACAGGATGGCTTAGTTATATTTGGTAAAATGACAGAATGGTCAGTGTGCAGATGTGGCTCTGAGGGAAAAGGGGAATCCTTTCCTCTAAATAAAACAGTTGTTTACTCCCCCTCCCAAGATGCAACTGACTTATGGTTAACCTGTAGGGCTTTCAAGACAAGAGGTGTTCAGAAGTGGCTTGCCGTTGCCTGCCTTTGCTCAGCAACCCTGGTATTCCTTGGTGGTCTCCCATCCAAATTCTAACGAGGGCCAACTGTGCTTAGCTTTCAAGATCTGACGACATAGGGCTAGCCTGGGCTCTGTTACTCTAGATGTCTTCATTTTAACCCACAGCAACGTATATATAAAACCCCACATAAAATCACAGAAGCAGAACACGCAAGAAATAGTTACACATCAGAACACCACAGAAGTGTTCCAGGATGCTCTTAGGATACATGCTTCGCTTGCCGATCTCAGTTCCTTTATGTCTTTACATCACTGATACTACCGCTGGAGCTGTTGTAGGACTACTTTCATTTCTGCATGCTGGCTATTTAGCATATTGAGACCTTGGAGAGGTGTTATGGGTGTCTAGAGTGTGTGCATGTGCACATGTTTATGTAAGATACCTAACAATGTTAAGAGAACAAAATTTGGGCAAGTGAATGCATTTCCCCCCTTGTTGTAGCTCCAGTAACTGTCACAGACTGCGAAAGGAGGATCCACGTGTACTTAATTGACAGGGCCTCTTGTTCACATGTAAAGTGGGATGTGGAGTGGGATGTAGAGTGAGTTTTTTAAATCTTTAACCGAAAACAGAGTTAATGGACAGGTTTTTTTTTGGGGGGGGGAGAGCAAAACCTTGCCCTGTCCTCTGCCTTACCTTGTGGTGCTCTACTGCTAAGTGTTTTTCTGCATTCTTGGCTCTGATAACTGCAGTGAGCCAGAGGAAAATGTTTAAAGTTGCTAGGTACCCTGAGGTAAGATTGACAGGATTTTCCTTCTCTCCCTCTTGTACTATGTTTTGGTTCATGTGTGGATGGAAGGATATGAATAAGTACATGGTGGGACCTCTTATGCCTACTTTAATTGTCAGAGTCTTGGACTAAGGTCTGTTGCAGCCCTGTTTCTTGATCCTTTAATCAGAGCTGTCAAGGGTTGAACTGGGGACTTCATGCATGCCAAGAAGATTGTATGCCATTGAGCTGTGGTCTGTTCCCTAAACTAAATTTTCTAAGCCACAGCCTTTGTTCTACTTTAGACACAAGTCACAGATGGAAGCCAAGCAAGAGACAAGCCCTAAACCACTGACCTGCTCTTCTGAATTAGCTTCCTTGGCAGTTTGCTAGTGAAAATTACAGCATTTTATTGTATTATTGTCTCTTGAAAAGCTTGTTCTTTTTTTTGTCTTCCCATCTCTTCCCCAGTAGCCTGGGGCAAGTTCCTGAATACTCTGCAACAGCTGTATCCCTGCCTACAGAGTGCTGGGACTTAGTTGCTCAAAGCAGCATACAGTATTGGAATACCCAACAGTACACATGTGGTGTAACAGTATAGTGGCTGAATTGATTGAAGAAATCCGGGTGCAATAGTGGTTGAACATTCATACCTCTTTCTTCCATTTTAGTCATGAAGTTTATCCTCGTGAGGAGCTATGTGTGTCTCTGTCTTCTCAGAGGGGGCAGGAGTTAGTTTGAGCTTTTTAGAATTTTAATATTAAGAAAGATTAGAACATTTCAAGGGTGTCACAAGGTCCATGTTTTAATTTGTATCTAGATTTGCATTTGGGGGGCATTTTTAAACATTTAGTCTCATTTTCTGTTTGTAGAAAATACTCAAGATAATGTGCTAATTTAAGACCATGCTAATTTGTACCAGTGGCTGAGGCTGTGTGGCATAGGTCATATTTAGTCCCTAAGGAAATGAATGTGCATTTCCTCCATGAATGGTGCCAGCACTGTAAAGGCTCTGACAAGCACATTCCGTAGATAGAGCAGATTCATCTGTCAGCATTATAGCGCATACGTCATTGTTGGCTTGGCTGTAAGCATCAGTTCACATTCAAGTAGTAACGATTCTGTGGGCTGCTGTGTTCTTGTCAGTATTAAAAGGACCATGATGAGTAGAATGCTGTCAGCAACTCTAGGCCGAGACCAGGTACACAGAAGGCTTGGGCCCCCCAGTTTCTTAGATGGTCCCTTTTTCTTAGCTTTTACATCTCCTTCCTCCAGTGTCAACTGCTGCAAAATTCTGGCAAGTCTTTCTTCATCCACTTACCATTAGGTTAGAATGAATTGCAGAATAGAGAAGAAGAAGAGAGAAGATATTGGATTTATACCCTGCCCTTCACTACCCAAAGGAGTCTCAGAGCGGTTTACAAACTTCTTTCCCTTCCCTCCCCACAACAGACACCCTGTGAGGTTGGTGGGGTTAAGAGAGCTCTGACAGAAACTGCTCTTTTTCAAGGACAGCTCTTATCAGAACTATGGCTTGCCCAAGGTCATCCAGGAGCTGCAAGTGGAGGAGTGGGGAATCAAACCCAGTTCTCCCAGATTAGACTCCACGCACTTAACCACTACACCAAACTAGAGATCATGTGTTGTAGTGGCTAGAATGTCAGACTAGATTTTGGGAGACTCAGATTCAAATCTCCACTTTGCCATGGAAGCTTCCTGGCTGACCTTGGGCCAGTCACACACAGTCAAACCTACCTCACAGGGTTGTTGTGAAGATAAAGAGAAGAGAAGAATGATGTAAGCCCCTTTAGGTGCCTATTGGGGAGAATGACAGGGTATAAAGTTGAATGTTCCTGCTGAAAAATTCTGTGTTCATGCTCTCTGCTTATCTATGAACATGATTGAAAACTATAATTCTGGGTATGATTTTGTGTGAGGAAGTGTGCTCAGATTGGGCTGAATTAGCTACAATATGCCTAACAGAAAAATGTAACAAAGACTTTAAAAATTTGCTGTACTTGTGTGAAATGTGTGGCCTCTCCAAATGCTTTCATGCCCTACATGTTTGTATAGTTCCTACATTATAATACATGCCTTAGTCTAATTTATTTGTATTGCATTTGGTTTCCCCCCAGGTTTTGGACGAAAAGATGTAGTGGAACACTTGCTGCAGACAGGAGCCAATGTCCACGCTCGAGACGATGGCGGGCTGATCCCTCTTCATAACGCCTGTTCCTTTGGTCATGCAGAGGTAGTCAGCCTCCTGCTGTGTCAGGGTGCCGATCCGAATGCCAGAGACAACTGGAACTACACTCCTTTGCACGAAGCTGCTATCAAAGGCAAGATAGACGTGTGTATCGGTAAGTGCGTCTTTATTTTAAAGCTGTCTCTTTATGGGTTTTCAGTAGTTGAATGTAAATTATAGACGCCTAATTACCTTGTGAGAACAGTGTTGATACTATTAAAGTAAAAGCACGTTAGGCTGGTTTCAGTAATGATTTTGGTTTTGTCTATATATATTCTCACCTAATTACACAATCCAGCCTTTTGTATATATCAGCTGTCCCCATGCCAAAATTCCCCAGTATTTCTCCCCAATATTGTTTTAACTGAGTTTTCTCCTTTATTCCTCCTCATTATTCCGTTATTAGGTGAATGTTACCTTACTCAGTATTCTTGAGAATGAGATTCTGCCATGTTTTTTTCTTTTTCAAGCAACCATTTCAACAGCTTCCTGAGCTATGTAGCGGTACTTTTTCAGAAGCAAGCAATGAGTGAATTCAATTTGCCTTTTGAGAGACTTTTATGGTGGTTTCCGCACGGCAACAAGCTTGTGTGGCTTAACTATTGCCGGTGTTGCTCCTGATACAGCATAGCAGCACATGGCAGGTTTCCCCTCAGGTTTCCCTGCCATCCTCACTCCCCTGAGCCACTGGTCATTTTCAGTATTTTTATATTGTTATAAAAATAAGTGTGACAGGTTTGTGGATTCCCAGCATTTTTTTTTTAAGTAAGTCTCTTAGCCCCTTCTGTTGCAGGGATATATCTTTCCCCTTATATAGCTGCAATGGATGGTGCTAGAGACTTACCTTTTTTTTCTTTAAATGAAAGCTGTGAAATCCTGGAATCTGTAAAATTCATTGTTATGATGATTGCTTCTGTTAGTCTGCCATAACTGAGCAAAATACAAGTCTAGTAACACCGTAGAAACCAACATTTTCCAGAGGACAAGCTTTCATGGGGCAGAGCTCATCTGAAGAAGTGAGTTTTGGCTAAGGAAAGCTCATACTCTGGAAAATGTTGCTGACCATTATTGTATAACTGTATAAAGATGTGGAATTGGTTTTTTAAAAAACAGCCCCCTGTTGGTGGGGGGAGGAAACAGTTGCCATGGGGACAGCTGCCACGCGAGTGGGGAAAAGACGAACTTTCCCACTCACGTGGCAGCCCGCACAGCGTTACTGTGATTCCCCCAAAACTACACAATGAAGGATGTTTGGAGAAGATTGGAGAAAAGGCAGGGAAATGTTGAGAGGAGGTGCACGAATGTACTGTGGTGGTATGGGGAAGCAGCAGTTATCTGCTTCCCAGCACCACGGAACCTGGAGCAGATAACCTGTGTGCAAATGGCCTAAGCTAACTGTATAAAAGGTTATTCTGTATTAAAATAATATTTTGAGAAGATGTCAGTGACTTTAAAGAGTTTTTTGGGGAGGCTTTTATTTCATTTTATGAGACTGTAAAGTCTTTTTCCCCCCTCGGTCAAGTCACAGCTGGCTTATGGACTTCCATGGTGGTCTCCCATCCAAATACTAGCCAGGGCCTAGTAGCCAGTAAAAAGTAAGGCCTTTTGGATATCCTGTTCTGAGTCACATTCACATTGGGAGTCCAGAACAAAGTAACCTTTGGCATTTAGCCATGTTATCAACCTCGGCTCTTATATGACCCTTATACATTTAATGTCTAACACTGGCTTTCTTGCACCTTTCCCCATGTCAGTGTTTCTGCTTGAGCAACCTTATTTAAAACCTTAACAAAAACTTGTGCAGTGGGTCCATTGATTCCCTGCTACTAAGGGAGGAACCTCCTTCCGTCAGAGCAAGGCTCCTCAGTAAAAGGGAGCTGTTGGTGGTATCATCATTATCATCATCATCATCATCATCATCATCATTCTCCCATGGCATTGTGTGTAGAATGTAAAAATGTAGAAGTAACCATCTGAACTCTGTCCCTTAAAGTTGTGTGACTAATAGTGTAGTACAGGAGTGTCAAACATGCGAGCCGGATCTGGTCCCCAGATGGCTCGGATCCGGCCCATGAGCAACTGGCTCTCATCTGTTTCCTTTTCCTTCTTTCCTGCTTCCTTCTGCCTCACAGAAGGCTCTCTCAATTGCACAGGAGCTACAGAGCAAAGCCTCTCTTCCCTCCATTGGTTGAGGCTCCCCCCCTCCTTTGTGAAGGGGGGGAGAGCAAGAGCTTGCTTTGCCAGGCTCTCTCAATCACACAGCACGGCTACTGAGCTAAGCCTCTCTTCCCTCCATTGGCTGAGGCTCCTCCCCTTCCTTGTTCCCTGGGGAGGAAGAGTGGGTGAG